TGGCACCTCCTGGAGCTCTGTGGGGAGCAATCTGTGAGGCAGTAGCTCTGCCTGTGGTTTTCTTTAACCTCACAACACTCCTCCTAAGCTTTGGGAAAACCCATGAATTAAAATCTTCGTGACAGTCCAGTATGAATGAGCTGAGAAAGCTCCCAGATGAGTCCACTGCCTGCTTAGGAAGCTTTGCTCTTCTAGAAACCCTTACCTTGACAAGGTTCGTGGGTCCAGCTTCAGGCAGCTTCTGACCCTCACCTATTTGTCTGCCCATTTGTCTCTTTCTCCCTCTCCCCCTTCAGTAGCTGTAAGATGCAAATCACACATGCATATTTTATTTGACATGTTATTAAATGCAATTTATAACTCCCTGCATCTATTTTTTTTTCTTGTTTAACTCTTCACTCTGGGTTCCTTGAAATAAAATTTTTAAAAAATCCACTTTAACTTGGAAAGGCAAGGACGTGATACCACTGCTTCCTTCTGAGTCAGTGGTAGACATTACTAATCAATCATAGCACTCTTTCCTCCTGAGCTTGGCATGACTTCAGAATCCTCAATCTTGCACTCCAAGCAGAGAGCGAGAATCAATTGGAGTTGGCATAAGCTTCCTGACTCCATCTCCACCCCCAATTGGATGCTAGATCTCTGCTATAGGACATTTCCGCTTCATGCTCATTCTCACACTCAGTGTAATCCAGTTGAAGCTCAATCATAGTTTTCTCTCCTCAGAGCAGCCCTCATTCGCCACCTTTTTTCTGTTAATGACATGCCATTTGCCTGGTCCTCCAGGATAAAGTATTTGTAGTGTTTTACTCCTCCATGTGTCCATGTCCTTTCCTTCTCAAATTCAGCCAATACCCCCATCCTATCTCTCTCTCCCTTCCCGTGTGTTTCTGACTCATCCCCTCCTGTCTAGACAACTATAGTGCCCACTCTGACCTTTATAAGGCTGGCAGCAGTATGGAAGGAGGGCAGGGTGGAAGACTAGCCTTAATTTGTGAAGCCCTCCCCAGTTCCCCCAGGCAAAAGGGAATTTTCTCTGTTCTAAACTCTCAGTCTCTGCACCTCCTTAGGACAGATATTATTTTCAACATAGTTGTGAGAGAGTAAAATAATGGTTAAGAGCATAGGCTTTGGAGTCAGCAGAGCTGTTGTCAGATCCCAGCTCCACAACTTCCTTTGGCAGGTGTGTTTGTTCATACATCCATCTATCCGTTTTTTCATCAGTCAACTATTATGGGGTACCCACTATGTACCAAGCTTAAGTTTCCACATCTATAAAATGGGATATTTTATGTAAAATAGCTGGCACAGTGTCTGGAACATAGCAAGACCTTGATAAATAATTGCGGGAAAGGATGCTGCTCAGATCTGGAAGTGCTCCCAGAGATTGCCTTAACCCACCTCATGTTACAGATGAGGAAACTGAGGCCCAGGGTGACTGCCCAAGGAACCACAACAAGTTTGAGGTAGAACTAAGACTAGAACTCATCAACTCCAACTCAGTGCACTTTCCACTGCCCCCACCGCTGCCTCCATGAGGAGAATGGGTACACCCGGTTATGTTTTAGGTTAGAGAGGCAAGGATGGAATCATGATCCCTAGAAGCCAAAATTGAGCCTTCTTCAACATCGTTACACACACACACACACACACACACACACACACGCACACACACACACACATACACACAGACACACGGTGTAAGATTATCCATGAGCAGAGTCCCTGGGAGGCAGCTAGTGTGGGTGAGAGAAGCTCCAGATCTTGGGGTGATATGGGGTCAACCAGTGTAGTTTTATCCAGAATATGTGCTGCATATCTATCTGGAGAGGCCTCCTCTATACCTCCTTCCCCTTCCGCCACAGGACAGACCCGCAAGCCCTACTCACACTACTTCAGAAATATCCCAGAGGGCTGCACACCTCATTCTATTCCCCCGCCCAGTCCAGGCCCTGCCCTGACAGTCTCCTAATGGTTCTTGTTTCCAGTATCTCTCCCACCAGTCTGTCATCTACACAGCACTCAAAATGAACTTTCTAAAATCTAACTCCAATCTTGTCATGCCGTTGCCTAAACCCTTTCTGTGGCACCTTGTTGCCCCCAAGCTGACCCGGTTCACATAACCCTTCATAACCAGCCCTGGCTTTTCTTCCTAGCCTCTTCCCACCTCACTCCCGCTTCTTCAGCCATTCTGCTCTTTGAACCACCATTCCTTTGCTCATGTTATTCCTTAGGCCTGTGATAGAGGTTTGTACCTCTTCCACCAGAAAAAAAAAATCCCACAAAAAAATAATAACAATAAAATACACTTCCTCTGATTTAGAGCATGTAATTACAAATGGGAGAAACCCAATTACCTTAATCAATCCATCAAAGAATTTATTAGCCCTTCTAACTGAAAGGGTCAGCAGTAGTACCAGCTTCGGGAGTACCTGGGTGGCGCAAACAGTTAAGTGCTCAGCTACTAACTGGAAGGTTGGCAGTTTGAATCCACCCAGAGGTTCCTTGGAAAACAGGCCTGGTGATCTACTTCTGAAAGGTCACAGACATTAAAAACCCTATGGAACACAGTTCTGCTCTGAAACACATAGGATCACCATGAGTTGAAATCATCCCAATGGCAACTGGTTTTTAACTGGTTGTACCAGCTTCAGGCATCGCTGGAAACAGGAGCTCAAATTATACCACTAGGATTTTTTTTTTTTCTCTCTGTCTCTCGATCTACCTTCAATCTCTGCCCATCTTGTCTTTTTGTGTGTGTGTGTGCATTGACATCATTCTCTGAGATGACATCTTTGTGTCCAGGAAGATGGTCACAAGTAACCTCAACTTATATTGTCCTTACAACCAGGGCTGGTTTGTCCATTAGGCACAGTAGGCCCAGTGCCTAGGGCTCACAGTACTTTTGAGGGTCCATGACAATGTCTTCATATCTCTTAAAATCAGAAGAAAAAAACGAACATTGAAAAGAATGGTTTAATATGTAATAATAATATATTCATCTCATACCAACACAATCATAAAATACTATATTTAATTTCTTTTAGGGAGAAAGGGATCAAGGCAGAAGTGCCTAGGACCCTGCTTACAAGCTGACTATCAAAAAGGAAGAGAGATTCTTTATCTCAGTTTCCATGTGTGAAACCTTAGGGAAAATGCTGGTTGGATCACATCCTAGAACACATCACTCTCGGAGGACTCTGATTGGCCAGCCTTGAGACTCAGGCTCACCCCTAAGGTGATGTTCCTCACATCATCTTCATATATGGGGTTTCCTGTAAGAAAGAGGCTTCTGTTTCAAGAATATCCACCAAAACTTTACTATCTCCCCCAGATATTTTCTCCCTTATGACACCTTTCCTCAGGAGAATTAGTTATCATCCACTTCTCTGCTCCCTTAGCAGTTCTAGTGGGATTGTAACTGTATGACAAAGCCTCTGGATCTTTCCTACACTGGGTGTCAGCTCCTGGAGGGCAGAACCATGGAGTGGACAGAAGAGATCTGGGCTATGAGAATAGGCAGAAAGAGGGGTTAACTCTGCCTATGGGTGTGAAAAGGAGACATTTGATCTGAGTCTGAAAGGCTGGAAGTCTTCCTGGAGGAAGGGGTATTTGAGGGAGGAAGGACACGAGGAGTCACCAGAATGGGAAGGAGTTGGGATGTAGAGAAGGATACAGCAGGAGATGAAGCTAAAAGGAGGATGGGATAATATCATGGAGGGCTATGAGTGCCACATAAAGAAATTTGGATTTTATCCCGCAACTCAGGGGTCTTAACCTGGGTCTGTGGAGGGGCTGTAGAGGGCCTGAAATTGTTGTGAAATGTTCTATCGCAATGCTGCCTTCTGCAGAGAAGGTCCATGGTTCTCATCAGATTTCAAAGGAGTTTCTGTCTGCAAAGTGGTTAAGAACCACTCATAATGGAGATGTGGTCAAGGTGCTTGAGGAAGGAGTGCCAAGCTCAAGTGCGTCACTAGAACACTGCTCTGTGGAAGACGGGCAGAAGGAGAGAGGAGAAGCAGGGAGACCCGTTAGGAATCTGTTAGAAGGTGGGAAACGACATGGACTTCAAACAGGGCAATGTTAGTAAAAACGGAGAGGACCTATTGGCATGAAAAGATGTTGTAGCAGTAAAGTTAACAGGTCCTTTTTGCGTGTTGGAGTTGGTGGAGATGAAGAGAAAGTGCCTTTAAATCTCGTTTGTATCAAAATTTTGTCATAGGATAGTTAACAAATCTTTTTTTTTTTTTTTAATTTCTTCCTCCCATTTAGACAATACTTTTTAAAGCACACTCAGGATAAAGAATTTATAAAGACACTGCCCTTTAAAAATTTTCCCGAGATCTCTAGAGAGTGGTCTCGGTTCTGAATATAGTGTTACTCTATATGTTTCAAAGAACGATCCAGACACGACAAGCAGCTGCAGCAGCTGGTGCCCAAGAAGGCCCAACGTGGTTATTTCATGTCTTTCTACAATTGATCAAAAACAATTTTTTTAGGCCAACAATTATTTAGCTTCTCGCCTTCTAGTGCAAGAAACTGCAGGCTGAATTGATAGTTCAACAGCTAACCTGTAAAATTGTCATTGTGCATATTAAATTTCTTTCAAGCATAACACAAATTCCAATTTCTATTTACTTATTCATTGTGACAGTATTACTAAACAAGTAAGGATGGGAATTTTTGTTATACCATGTATAGTGAATGTATTGTACTGTATCTGTGAAAACTGTGCTTTAAATGATGTTTTCATACATTCTGTTGGGGACAGAGCACATTAATTTGGAAGAGACAGATGTTTCTTTTAGAACTGAAGGCAACTTAATGAATCAAAATTTCTGTCAAGGAAAAAAAAATTCTGTCAAGGAAGGCTGTTTATAAATGTAAACAAAATCACATTTAAAGTAAAGTAACTCTGACTCCCCCCACCAAAAAAAAGCACGCACAGCAATATCAAGGCGGTTTGCTTTTCTAACTCCTGACTTTGTCACCCTGCACAGCTACCCGCTCCCCTCCCCAGCGCTCAGCAGCTCTGACCGGCTGCCTTTTGGCATCGAGGAGAATGGGGGCACACCATTCACCGCCAAAGCGCCAGGAAGGCATCACCACCACCAGCACCAACACCAGCACCACCCAAGCTATGGCCTCACACTGACCCTGGAGAGCAAAGAGGGGCCTTTGAGGTCCCCAAGCTCCGGCAGTAAGTCCCTTACAAGTGAGTAGAGGTGGAGATGGCAGGGGCAGGGTCGGGGGATGATGCTGTAAAACATAGGTGGCTTCCCTAGATCCTCAGGACAGGCTCTCAGTGCAGCGTGTAACTGTGGTCATAGTGTTGGGTGACCATGTTTAGGCAAGAGTGGACTAGGGCCTTGTACATTTAAGCACATTTCCAGATTATGGTTTATCAGTACATTCTGATTTCATTGCATAGTAACAATTCTGTGTCCACCTCATTCCTTAGCAGTTCTTTTCTTGGGCAGTACCCATCCCTGGCTCAAGCAATGGAAAGGGGAAAGAGGGGCGTGAGATGGCTGGAATTTCTACTTTTGCAATTACAGAAAAACCTATACTGCGCCATTTCTGATGTTCCACCTCTGAAAGCAAGGTGATGTCAGGTACAGCCAGTCTGCTCACTGATACAGGTCCCAGTGAGAGAAAGACAAAAAATGGAGAGTAAGCAATTAGAAACATGTTTAGCAATATGACAGTGATTTTATATCTGTTAAAGCTAATAAAAAATATGGACTTGGATGTTGTATGTCTGTTATTTTCTTTTTCGAGAAATTCACTTTTATTAGATTTTATAAAAGAATTGGCCTGCGATGAATTGGGGGGAAGAGCTTGTTCTGTATTACATATGGTTTGAAAAGTATTAAGGTAGAGGCAAGAGGCTTCAATTCTAGTTCTCACTATCGAGCCAAGTCCCCTCCTCAATCCTTGGTTTTCTCATCTATGAATTGGGATATAGTCGGTGAGATGATCTCCAAGGAACCCTCTAGCTCTGGTATTTCATGAGTCTGTGAACTGGTGAAATAGGATGGGCCATTTAGCCTTCACCTGTAGACCTTACGGAACAATTCTGGTTGGCTGAGCTGGGAGTTGGAAGGGGGTCAGCAGCCACTTGGTGTTCAAGGACCAGATCTGTTTGTCACTCTCCACACTGGCTTTGCCCTGGTCTATGCCTCATCTTTGTGTACCTGAATAATTGTAACAGCCTCCTAAGGGACCCCCTATCCAGCTCAGTCTCCACATTGTGGCTGCCAAAGTGATAGCTCTAAAAGCACATCTGACCTGATTGCTTTCTTACCTTAAAACCTTTCCATGGTTCTTCACTGTCCCCAGCTAAAGCCCACTCTCTGAGCATGACCACACACAGACCTTCAAGCCTTGTCCCTGTGCCAAGGTTGGCCAAGATCTCCAGCTTCCCCTACTCCCCACCACATCCAGAACTACTCACCACTCACCAAATGCTGTGCCATGTTCCAGCTCTGCCCCTTGCCCCTGCTGTTCCCTCTGTCTGGAATGTTTTTCTCCACCCTAGTGAACTCTGACACATCCTTCAGGAGCCAGCGCAAATGTTATCTCTTCAGTGAAACTTGCCTTAACACTCCTTCCCCATTTCGGGCTTTGGAGTCCCTTCACTCTTACTCCTAGAGTAATTAAGCATAACTTTTTTTAAAAAGCTGAAGTATTTTATTAATAATTTATTATCAGTAATAAAGACTGGCTAATGGAAGTTTTCAGTGAAGCAACTTGCTTTAGGGCCATCCAGCTCATATGGGGACAGGGGAGTTAGGCATTTAAACTGTGACCTTCAATGTTCTCACACCCATCAGCTGGTGCACACTCAAGGGATTCAAGCTGTGGAGGAGGAAGCCAGCAGAAAGGGTGCTGAGGGTCGAGCTCTGGCAAGTGTCCTTGATCACCTGTATCTATCTGTCCTTTCAACCTTTCCTATTATTCCCTCTGGCTATGTTTTTAGAACTGAGTCCAGGAGCACCTGCCCTGTTCGGTGATGCAGCGGCCCATCTAAAGAAGCTGGAACTGGAAACGGTGAAGGCTGTTGGACCCTGGCCTGCTCTGCACATCAACATAAACAAGGTGCCCAGGGCCTGGGGGCTCTGCCGGGGGCATGGACTTGGCGCTCATGTCAACATCTGGTTATAACATTTGCTTGCCTCCTAAACGATGTGCCTTTGCTTTGGAGGGGTTTCTACTCAATCTTTCCTGACATTTCTGCTGAGGGTATCTTTTAGAAGCAAGACATTCACTTGCATTTTGGGGGAGCAAATTATAGACCAGTCTTTGCCCTCAGTGCTGAGGCCAATAAGTGTGTTCTGTCCGTGAGTAGTCTCTCTCTCCTTCTAGACTGAAAGCTCGATGAGGACAGCGTCCACACTTACGTTTTTCCACTTTTATCCCTCTAGCTCATTTTATGACAGTGCCTGGCACATAGTAGATGTTCAGTAACTGTTTTCTGATGACAGGAAGGAGGGATTGAAGTGCAGAGGGAGGGAGGGACAGGGCAGAAGCCAAGTTCCGTTTTGGCTAGACCTCTTCTTACATCCAAAAGGGCAGCCTTATAAAAGCCACTGTTTATCTTAGAACGATAGAATGTCAGTGCTGGGTTAGAGCTGTCTTTTCCTCCAATGACTTTCTTAAGGTCATACAGCAGGGGCTGGGTCTTTGGGCCCCTGACTCCTAGTCCAGTGTCCTTTGCCCTCCAACATGTTTCTCTGTCTTCTTCACCAGGGTTTCTCAACCTCAGCACTAGTGACATTTTGGACCCCCTACTTGATTGTCGTGGGGGCTGTCTTATGCATTGTAGTATGGTTAGCAGCATCTCTGGGATATACCCCCATCCAGTTGTGACAACCAAAAATGTCTCTAGACATTGCTAAATGTCTCCTGGGGAGCAAAATGGCCCTAGTTGTGAACCACTGTTGTACATCTATTTTAATTTTATAAAGGAATAGTCTTCTTCATTGATAGTTTATATCTCCCACTCTAATGCTTAGTTTTGCCCCTTTCTAAGAGAGAATATGAAGCTGTTTCCCAGCTAGAAAGAATCCCTTCCTCCAGGGTGGCACTTATATTCATTTAATCAGCAAATCTCTCTTGAGCATGTCTGTACTCAGTGCTGGGGATTCAACTCAATCACCTCTTGGTGTTCAATTTTTCTTCTGCAATACACATGATAAATGGTTTTATCAGGGGCTTACTCAGAGTTTGACAAAATTCAAAAATAGTTTGCAAAGAAATAGCACATAGAGCAGCAGAGGACTCATAAGCTGTATAGTAATTTGTAATATCGTGGCTATTGGTGGATCATTGACAATAGTTGCTTGCTCTGGGTTAAGGCATAGCTGGTTATTGAGCATTTTCCTGCAGCTCAAACTCTAACCCCTCTCCTATCTCCCTCACTCAAAGAAACGCATCAGTAAGCAAGTTAGCTAGAGCGTTGAGATTATACAGGTAACCTTGACTTTGTTCTAACACATAAGCAAAGTATATTACTTCAAACTACTATTCTTTATCATTAATAAAAAATTCCTTGCAATAGATCTCACAAGTCGTCATGACACAACAATTGGGAAGCCACTGGCTTGGATGACTTTTAAAGTTTTTTCTAGCCCCAAGGCTCTGGAATCCTCTGATTCTTCCAGGGTTTGGGTAATTTCCTGTTTTTGATTTAATGGAGAACAGTCATCTTCATTGCTCAGTTCCAAAGTCGTACCCAAAATTATCACAGGAATTTAAATCTCATCAGATTTCAAATGTGTAAATAATTTGTGTAAACAATTTAAATGTGCATCTGATCATTTCTTTATTCTCAAATGACATTCCCGTGCAGATGAACTATTTCCCACTGTAAAAGTATAAAAGCCCAATTTTCAATCATTTGTATATTTTGAAATCTGTATTTGCACATTGAACAATAAAGTATCTTTCAGCAATTCAAGTGCATTATATGTAAAATTTACAAAATATGGTCACACAAAAGAGAGAAAGCACAGCGTCCTCAGAGCCATCCTCCAGGCTGGATTATGATTTTGTAATCCAGGCCTTTGTCTCCCAGAGAAACATCTTCTGTACAAACACATCCACATAACAATGTACAAATTTCCAAGATTTAGACTGGTATTTGCCTGAGTCAATTCATAATTCATAGAGCTGAATATTACTGCTTTGTCCAGATCTGGTAGGAACAAGCCAGCTTCAATGTTGTGTCCAAAAGCATTTTAGGGTTACTAAATTCAAAGGGAAAATCAATGCTGAATTCTCATTCTTTTCTTTTTTTAACAGCATTTAATTTTTTAAAAAATAGGCCTTCGGTCATTCCTGTCAGGATAACTACATCCCCTTAAGCAATTGTCAGAAACCTCAAATGGGCTTTAGAACCAATTTAATTCCTATATCCCAGCATATAATTCCAAAAAGTGAATCTAATTAAACAGTTAAGTCTTCACACACCCATGAAAACACCCATTGAAATAGTAAATGTCTTAATGTAACTGGATTTGTAAACACAGGATAAATTCTTCTAAAGCTATACCATAAACCTCATCTTTCAAAATAAATTACCTATTTGCCTAAAGGAGAATGCTAAGTCCCACAGGATAATGAATTGAGTTAAATGAGCCAGTTTTCTTTATACCATTTCCCTTTGTGTCTCAGGATCATTGTTGTTGGGTGCCGTAGAATCAATTTTCAATTCATAGAGACCCAATGTGAAGAGTAGAACTGCCCATAGGGTTTTCTAGGCTGTAATCTTTATGGAAGCAGATTGCCAGGTCTTTCTCCTGCGGAGCTGCTTGGTGGGTTTGAACCACCAATCTTTTGGTTAACAGCCAAGCACTTCATCGTTGCACCACCAGGCCTCGTTTCAGGATCATTGGTATCCTCCTATCTAATGCTCTTTTCTGATTTATATCTATTTTTCTAACCATCTTAACAATCTTAATGAAGAAGGAGGCTGAGACTCTGAGAAGTTAAGTGGAGCCAGCATGGCTGAGGGTGAAGAGCTCTGGCTTTGTTGTCACCTAGCCCTGGTGTGAATTTTGGCTCTTCTGCTTACTTCTTCTGTCACCTTGGGCAAGTGACTTACCATCTCTCTGCTTTGTTTTTCTCACCTATAAAGTGGGCATAATAAACCTACCTCCAAATGGTTAAATGAGAGGATTCGATGAGACCTGTATATGAAATGCTTAGTCAATGCCTGACCCATAATAAGCGCTGAGTAAATGTTAGCTACTAGCATTATTTTACTTTTTATCATCTCCAGCATCTTTTTTTTTTTTTTTTTTTTAATGGTGCTGGTAGGGAAAAGAGCTGAGATTCAAATCCAGGTCTCTGTCTCTGCTTGTCTTATGATTACGTGAAATTGCTGAGCTCTGCTCACTCTACTAAATGCTTCTCTATGTGTTTGGAGGTCCCACTGGGAAAATGTATATTATGTTCTCTTTATTAAATGATGTCAACCAGCTAATTGCCCTGTACTTTCTCTAAGACTTTTATAATATCCCTGCTGTGTGTACCAAGGTGCCCAACAGGACTTTTGAATTAGTGAATGAGATTAATTTTGGAACTTGCAGAACTTGAGACCTTTAGAACATTTTATTCTTGTCCTGGTACATTGTGGCTAAGTTGTCATGTTTAGTCTTGATACCACTCAATTGACTTTTAGCAATCATAGACCCTGGTATATTTTTTATTAAACACATATCTCTTGTACCAATAACTAGCAGCATCATCTTCTTAAGTAGCCGTTTATTGAGCACCTATTTGCCAAGCGCCATATTAGCATTTGGCTATGCAATGACCACAGTAAGTATGATTAACAATACGACATTATTTCCCTGTGTGTGGTATGCATGCCACCAAGGTTGATTTTAGGTTACATGCATAAATGAGTGTTTTTTTATTTTAATAATTGTATAATTATTATAATTTTATAGATATCAAGTCCATGATTTCAGAGATATTATTACTTAGGACATGGTTAAAATAGGCAGTGCCAGGGTAATTCACACTAACAAGATCATATGAATTATAAGTCCATACTGATTTAACACATGGGATATGGCAAAAATAGCAAAAGTGTTACCAAATTATTGAATTCTGAAACACTACAATGAGGTAATGTAGATGCAAATTCCTCACTGTTGAGAATCACAGTTTTCAGCAAGATCTATTGTACAAATACCAATAAATATTTTCTACTCTTTCCCTTGGCCCAACAAGTCACAGGATTGAATCTTTGTATGTGAAAGGTAGCAAAAAAAAAGAAAACAGTTGCCATGGAGTCAACTCCAACTCATGGTGACCCCACGTGTGTCATTGAAACCACAGGGTTTTCAGTGGCTGATTTTTCAGAAGTAGATTGCCAAGCCTTTCGTTCAAAGTGTCTCTCAATGGACTCAAACCTTCAACCTTTCGTTTAGCAGTTGAGTGTGTTAACCATTTGCACCACCCAGAGACTCTGTAAGAGGCAGCAGATATGGTGAAAAGAGCGCTATCCTAGGCTCTAGGAAACTGGAAGCTTGAGTCCTGGTTTTGCTTCTTGTTCTAGCTGCATGACTCTGGAAAAGCCACTTCATCTCTTTGAACCTTCACCCCGTCTTTTGTATAATGGGCTGAATGAGATGCTCTCCCTACTTCACTAGAGAATGAGATGATAGGCTTGGATATCTTTCACAAGTAGTAAAGCACCAGGACAAATGTAAGGAGGAGGTGACATACTTGTGTATATTTTTAGGTCTATGTGTGATTTGCAGTTATGATTGTTGGGAAAAGTTACTATACGTGTTTTCTTTGTTTACAGTCTGTTGCATGTATTTTGGTTTGTCACAGGCTGAAGAAAAGAAAGTCTCTGAGAAGACTCTTCAGACTCCACTTTTGCCTTCCCCTGTAGCTGACCATGTGAAGTGTAACATTTTGAAAGCCCAGTTGGAGAATGCTTCCAGGGCAAATGCCCAGGTGTGTGGAGCACGTGTATTTCTTTGATTTCACTTTGCAGGATTTCCTCCCTGCCACATAGAAGCAAGAGGCACCTTACGGCGGGGATGCTGGGTCAGTCAGATCCAGTCGGGAGACAGGAGTCACACCTACTGTTGGAACAGAGATTTTAGTATAAACAATTATTAAATCCAAAACCAGTTGCCATCAAGTGAATTCCAACTCACGGCGACCCCATGTGTGTCAGGGTAGAACTGTGCTCCATAGGGTTTTTAATGGATGATTTTTCAGAAGTAGAGTGACAGGGCTTTCTTCCGAGGTGCCTCTGGATGGACTTGAACCTCCAACCTTTCGGTTAGCAGCCAAGCATATTAACCATTTACACCACCCAGGAACAAAGAATTATTAACCAGTATAAAATTATTCATTGGAGACTTGTTGGTGCAGTGGTTAAGAGCTACAGCTGCAAACCAAAAGGTGGGCGGTTCGAATCCATCAGCCACTCCTTGGAAAACCCTATGCGGCAGTTCTACTCTGTCCTATAGTGTTGCTATGAGTCGGAATCGGCTAGACAGCAACAGATTTGGTTTTTGGTGAAGGCAGTGGTTTCAAACTTGAATGTGCATAGAAGTCACCTGGAAAGCTGGGCCCCAGCCCCAGCGATTCAGTAAGTCAGGGTGGGGCTTATTTGCATTTCTAACAAGCTCACAGCACCACAACTTTGAGTAACACTAAGGTACCAGAGGTAGCAACTGCAGGAAGCACCTACCAACCCACTTACCAATCATAGGGCTAACGGAAGAAAGAAGAAATGTTGTAATTATTAAAATCTGGAAACTTAGAGAAGTCGCATGAAGAAACTCAGATTTCTGAGAAGGGGTCATTGCTCAGCCGGTGCTGGTGTTTCTGAGCTCGGAGGATGGGCACCTCAGAAACAGACCCAGAATCTGAGGAGAGCGTGTCGGCTGGCTGATGCTGATATTTCGGGGCTAGACAGCATGAAGCTGCATCTGTGAAGAAGCTGCATCTGCCAGTGTTGGAAACCTGCAACCTAGATTCATCTGCTGCTCAGGTGAAGTAGTGAGACTGAGGTGATTCCCAGGACCCGGAAGCAGACGGCGAAGAGCAAGTTCCTCTCCCACTAGCGCCCTCTGTGGAAAGAACCTACCACGAGGCTCTAGCAAAGCAGAAATGAGATTTGCAGAGTCCCAGCCCCAGTGGAGTGTTGAAGGTTGGGTTGAGACCGCTCAGCTGCTAATCGAAAGGTTGGAGGTTGGAACCCACCAGCCGTTAAGCTGCTCCACGGGAGACAGATATGGCAGTCCGCTTTTATCGCAATGAATTGGACTCGACTCAATAGGAATGAATTTTTTTGGCAATCTTCACTGAAGCCGACATCTTTTTCCCATTGAGCTGCTGGTGCGTTCAAACCAACGACCTTTTGATTAGCAGATCAGCACTTAACCAGGGCTCCTTTGATTATCTGCTAAACCCCAAAACAAAACCCGTTGCAGTCAAGTTGATTCCTACTCGTAGCGACCCTATTGGACAGAGTAGAACTGCCCCATAGGGTTTCCAAGGAGCGGCTGATGGATTCGAACTGTCGGACTTTTGGTTAGCAGTCGAGCTCTTAACCATTGTGTCAGCAGGGCTCCTGACTATCTGCTATTGGCTCTAAAAGAAAGGCTTTGATGAGGAAGCAGGGCTGGACTCGTATCTGGACAACCCTGGCAGGCTAATAATGTGAAACCCTCCAACCAATACACTTGAAATCTTTGCTCAGAGTGTATTTTAGAACAGAGCCTGAGCTCTGTATGTTTGTGGTGGGTGTGAAGGCCACCAGTACTCCATCTCCCATGGACACCAGCATGGGTTCAGTTGGCCTGGCTGGCTGAGTGGGTGTCCCCTCCTCCCCCATCATTCTTTGTGGCACTGGCCAAAGGGAGGAGGACAGGCCTCTATCAAAATCATATGATGAAATTCCTCCCAGGCTTGTTAAGCTGATGTGAAAGCGCAGATTCTGAATTCCTTTGTAAACTCTAAGTGCTATATGAACATAGAGCTGATTATTATTCCTGATCTACAGTGGGGGCAGGGGATTAAACTGTGGATTTGGCTTTTCCCCCACCATCTCCTTCTCACTCATGTATGAGCTGGCACATAGCAGGTCCTCAGTAAAAGAAAGAATGCAAGAAGTGATTGCATTTGAATGGTTAAGTATTAATCCCCGAGATGAGGAATGACTCAAGAAAACATTTGTTTGTTAACGTGTATAAATACCAGAGCAAGGTTTGTTACTGACTGGGGACTTGATGAACTGCCTCTTTGGTCCACCTTCACATTTCTATAAGCTTTTGAATGTAGGAGACTTGAAAGCAGTTTTTCATGCCAAAATGTTCACGTTTGACTAACCTGACTGTTTTCTTTAACAGGTTGGAAAAGAGGAATCAACATTTGTAAATATGAATAAAAAATCCAGTCTTCAGGACGCTAATGTAAGGTCTGTTGCTTCTTGTTCAAATGGGGAAATGATACTGTCTGTATCATCAACATTATCCTCAAAACACTGCCCATGAGGACATTTGCTAATAAAATCAGGGAGGAAAAATAAAACTGAGAAAATCTGAGCCTGAATAGGTAGAAAAAACTGGCTTAAATAAGTTTTTTTAAGCCTCAAAAATGCTGCTTATTCTCTGTGTTGATAGTGGTTGAGTGCTATGGCTGCCAACCAAAAGGTCAGCAGTTTGAATCCACCAGCCGCTCCTTGGAAAACCTATGGGGCAGTTCTACTCTGTCCTATAGGGTTGCTCTGAGTTGGAGTCGACTCGATGGCAACAGGTCTCAAGCTTGTAGATATGACCTTGTCATTCCCCTGCTTAAAGTCCTTTCAAGGGTCCACTTTGCACAGGAGGCCCTTCGAGACCTGGGCTCTGCCTACCGCTCCAGCTCAGCTTATCACTCTTTTCTTGGCCTACTGACATGGCCCTCGCACTGAGCTACTTACCAATACTAGACCAGAGGTGTAACTAAGGCATGGCAGGTGGGGCATGTGCCCTAGGAGCCTATTGAGGAGAGGCGCTAATGAGCAGTTTCTATTAGCCATTGCAGTTTCCATCACCAGCTGTGAGAGATCATTCAGCAATTTAAAACTAATTGCCATAGGCGCTATTTTCTGTAGATAGGCCCTTGCTGGAACCACATGTGTTCTTTGACGCTTCCAGGCCTCCCCTGCTCCAAACCCAGAGGAAACCATTTCTCCCCTGATCTCACCGAGAGCAAGAACGCCTCCCCTTACAGCCCAAGTGAGAAACAACTTCAGACTGTGGATTCCTGCTGCCACTTCAGTGGGAGTCTAAGACCACTGCATCAAAGTCTGTTGTTAAAAATGCAGATTCTTGACTCCTACTCTAGAACTTTTAGATTCTTGGGGTGGGGCTGGGGATGGTGACAGGAATCGTTTCAACAAGCACCCCAGCTGATCTAAGAACCACTCCCTGGGGAATTCTTTTAACCAGTAACCATTTGCCATCAAGTGGACTTCAACTCATGGTGACCCCATGTGTATCAGAGTAGAAGTGTGCTCCATAGGGTTTCCAAGGGTGGACTTTTGAGAAGTAGATCACCAGACCTTTCTTCCAGGGTACCTCTGGGTGGACTCCAACCGCCAGCCTTTCAGTTAGCAGCTGAGCAGGTTGACCATTTGTACCACCCAGGGACTGGGGAATTCTTATACTAGATGGTAAAAATAAAAACAAAAAATTTTCCATATACCTTATGATTCCTAAATCCATGTTTTTGCTATATATTTATTTTACTTCAGAGACACATACCCATTTTCAAAAATTTAATTCGTTTCTTCCCAGACCAGCCCACTCCACTGGGTTTCCAGTCTTGGTTAATAATGGCATTGTTGTCTACCTGTTCCCCAGGCCTATAAACTGGGAGTCCTTGACTTTCCTCTACCTCACACCATATATAATTGGTCGAGGTCACCAAGTCCTACCAATTTTACCTCCATTTTATCTCCCACATCCACTTTCTACTCTTCATGACCACAATCCCTTTCTACCTTGGGCCTTCAACATCTCTCTAGTGTATTACAACAGCAGCAGTCTGCTAATATGCTCCTGGCCTCTTTTCACCAGTGTCCTCTTTGTTGCTCCAAGGACCTTTCTAAAATGCCCAAGTCTGACTATGCCACTTCTTTGCTTAAAGCCTTTAGTGACTGCCATTGCCTTCAGTGTAAACTCCTGAGCCCAGTGCCTGAGGCCCCTCACAACTTGGCTTATGCTTTCCCCTTAGTCACAATCCTCTGCTTTTCTGCTGGGACCTCACCCTTCAGCAGTTCCGGCCTACCCTTGTGTGCTCCAGGTCTCCATTCTGTCTCCTATCTTGATCTTTCCTCTGTCTGGTTAAGTGCCAATGCCTCTGTGAAGCTTTTCCAGTACAGCCGTTCCACCCAAGCAAAGTTATATGCTCCCTACTAGACTGAGTTCTTTCAGGGGCCATGTTCAGTTCACTCTGGGGGCCCAGCTTAAAGAAATCTTGAACCTAGAATACATTGACTCTAATCCCTTATCTGCTCATTCACATGTTCACTCAACAAACCTTTATTCGGCACTGACCATGGCCGATCACCATGTTAAGCACTAAACCCATTGCCGTAGAGTCGATTTTGACCCATAGCAACCCTAGAAGACAGAGTAGAACTACTCCATAGGGTTTCCAAGGAGAAGCTGGTGGATTTGAACTACCGACCTTTTGGTTAGCAGCCATATAACTTAACCACTGCACCACCAGGGCTCCATGTTAGGCACTAGTAAAAGAGAAACTGGGGACCCAGAAGAGTTAATGTGTTTGCCAGAGGTCCCTTGCTGAGGATTTCAACTTGTTTTGATGTCCTTTTTGTTCCAAAGGATAATTATTGATTTTTTTAGTGAAAAGTCATGACGACTACGGAAAATATATTAACCTTCTCCTTAAAATACTGTTTTCAGTAGGGCTCATCAGTTATCTCACATAATTTCTTAAGGAAATGTAAAAGTGAAACTTAATGTTTAATATTTCACATGTACATAGAATTAAAAGATGTTTTAGGGCAAGTCTTAAAAGTCTTCTGATGATGCATTTTTCACATTAAATACCCTATGATCCTTCTTCTTTTCTTTTTAAAATATATTCTGTGTTGTATTTAGAATATCATAGCTACCATATTACTTGAAAGTAAAAATGGATTATCCATAGGTTCCTCTTCACTCTTTTTATTGGCAAAACTTGGTTCTGAACCAAATCGTGATATTAGAGGGAGGGTGTTTTGGACAGGGAAATTTTTTTCCGTACCTTAATGATGTTCAGCTCCCCACTTGCTATATTTTCTTCCTATGACTTTTGTTTTTGGATTTTCTATAGTATTTATTTTTATATTTAATATGTAGAGTAGAGAGGAGGAGAAATGGATTTCCTGTCTACCATTGCTGTTAAGGTATAAATTATCTGAGAAAACAGTTCCTATGGCCAAAACAAAGCCATGAATATTTTTTGTTGATGTTGTTCCTTTGTTTTTTTTTTTGTTTTTGTATATCTATTAGAAGTCCTATTCCTATACGTGTGGAAACTACCCAACCAGCTGTGGAGAAGCCGGAAATCAAGCCTCCCCGTGTGAGGAAGTTAACAAGACAATACAGTTTGTGAGTTCTGTACTGCAAGTTTTTCAGTTATAAGAACAAAGGCAATGCTAAGTGTTTGGTCATAAATGCTTTTTAGCCCCTCACACCATTCTTCGAGAGCCATCCCCAAAATTCAGTTTATTTCCAATTTAGGTCATAATGGGGCTAGACCGTTCTCCCTGAAAATATTACATATTTGGTGTATGTATTAATTATCTATTGCTGCGCAAATTAGTCCAAAACTTAGAGGCTTAAGACAGCACACATTAAATGCCTCACAGTTTCTATGGGTCAGAAGGCTGGGCACAGCTTAGCTGGGTCCCTGTGTCTCTCACAAGGCTGAAGTCAAGGTGTTGGCCGGGGCTATAGTCTCATCTGAGGCTCACTCAGGTAGTGGCTGACAAGATTCAGTGGCTCGAGGGCTGGTGACTGATGGTATTGGTTCCTTACTGGCAGTTAGCCAGAGGCTGCCCTCAGTTCCTTGCCATGTGGGCCTCTCCAGCTTCCTTTCTTTTTTAAAAATATTTTTTTTTTAAATTGTGCTTTAGGTGAAAGTTTACAGCTCAAGTTAGTTTCTCATACAAATACATGCACATTGTTATGTGACCCTAGATGCTGTCACTATAATGTGACAGCACACTCCTGCTTTCCACCCCAGATTTCCCATGTCCATTCAACCAGCTCCTATTCCTTTCTGCCTTCTCATCTCACCTCCAGACAGGAGCTGCCCATTTAGTCTTGTGTATCTACTTGAACTAAGAAGCACACTTTTCACGAATATCATTGTATATCTTATAGTCCAGTTTTGTCTTTGTCTGAAGAGTTGGCTTAAAAATAATTTGTCGTGTGTGCTAAATTATATATAAAGGATCCTTGGTGACACAATGTTTAAGTGCTCAGCTGCTACCCAAAACGTTGGCGGTTTGATCCCACCAGCAGCTCCATGGGAGAAAGATGTGACAGTCTGCTGTTCTAAAGATTCCAGCCTAGGAAACGGTATGGGACAGTTCTATTCTGTCCTATAGGGTCACTATGAATCAGAATCGACTCGACAGCACTTAACAACAACAATAAAGTATGTATAACATAAAATTTGCTAATTTAATCATTTTTAACTATACAATAAAGTGGCATTAATTACATGCTCGATGTTATGCCACCACAATCTATTTCCAAAACTTTTTCATCACCCCAAACAGAAACTGTGTACCCACTGAGCAATAACTGTCCATTCCTGTACCCCACTGCCCCCCGGTAAACTCTGATCTGCTTTCTGACTCCCATGATTTGTCTATTCTCGATGTTTTCATGTAAGTGGGATCACACAATGTTTGTCCTTTTGTGTCTGGCTAATTTCACTTAGCATAATGTTTTCAAGGTTCATTCATGTCGTAGCATCTATTAGAACTTCATTACCTTTTATGGCTGAATAATATTCCATTATATGGATATATCACATTTGGTTTATCCATTTATCTGTTAATGGACACTTGGGTTGTTTCTGTGTTTTGGCTATTGTGAATAGTGCTGCAGTGGACATTGGTGTACAAGTATTTGTTTGAGTCCCTGCTGTTAATTCTCTTGGATATATACTCAGGAGTAGAATTGCTGGGTCATATGGTAATTTGGTATTTAACTTTTTGAGGAATTCTCTAGCTTTCTTCATTAGAGAAAACGCACAAGAAGAAAGAGCCAGAGAGTACTAGCAAGACGAAAGTCACAGTCTTTTGTAACCTAATCATGGAAATGACATCCTGTCACTTTGCCATATTCTGTTCATTAGAAGCAAGTCACTAGGTCCAGCCCACACTCAAGGGGTGGGGTGGGGGAGGGAATCACACAAAGGCGTGAATACCAGGAGGCGGGTATCTTTGGGAGGCATGTCACAGAATTTAGTGAAATGGTAGCGTGGTCTGTCACCAGAGCGAAAGCTAATCACTGAGTGGTAATGAGAGCTGTGGGAGGAGTCATATCCCAGAGTGTCCCAGAACCACCAGGCCTATCCAGTTCAGCCTAACAAAGTGTCTTGGCTACTGTATGTGCAGAGCTGTTCTATGCATTGTGGGGAAAAGCAAAATGACTTTGGCAATTCCCATCCAAAGACTCATAACTTACTGTATAATCCAAAGAAGATGTATAAATGTTGAGTAACAGTGGCGGTAGTAGGAGTATTAGTAGCAGTAATAATCACAATTGTAATTACCAGTTCCTGACCTCAGCTGTGGGCCAGCACCGTTATCTGCATGTATAATTGGTCAAAGAGCTACAGGGGGGTCTTTGAGCAAAATGGAAAACTTGGGGGCTTTGGAGTCAGAAGAGCCTCTGTTTGAGTCTTGGCTAATTTACAGCTGTAAGCTCTTGGGAAAATACCTCTTCGAGCCTCTATTTCTTCATCTGTATAATGCATGAGATAACATCTACCTCTGAGGTATTATGTGAGGATTAACATGAGATGATGCAGGTAAAGCCCCAGCCAGGGGCCTGGTTGTAGGATGAGTTAGTTTCCCTTCCTTTCTTGTCTAGGACCTGGAAGCTTCTGACAACAGGTCGAGTTTAGGGGTTACCCAAAGTGTAAAACGTAGAACGTGGAGCGTAACTCCAGACGCTCTGCTGACACAAACAACCTTCTCAGGCCTGCCTCTTACACCTTGTGGAAAGGAGAAGAGGCATGGGAGTTTTTAAGGTCAGACACACCCTACCTCATAGCCTTAATGGAAACTTCTGAGCAGTACAGCAGCTATCTTTCCTAGGAAAGCCAAAGCAAGTAAGGTTCAAATAATTAATTGTCCTAATGATCTCGGGGGGTGGGGGGTGGGGGTGACAAATTAAACCAGGAAAAATCTGTTCCCCTGAGGAGAAAGCTGGCAAGACTAGCCTATCCTTTTACACTTTGAAACTCAAAATGTTATTATCACCCATATGGGATTGTAATCATGTTGGAAACAATGACTAGCTGATAACCTGGCCTGGAAGGAGATGAAATTTAATTAACTCATGAAATTGGCTTTTTCAAGGAAATCATTTTAAAACCTCTAACTTCACGTGTGTATTTCTTAAGTGACCCCAACCTATTTTGCTTCAAAAGTCAAAGAATGGCAGCATTTTCCCCATAGTAGAAAATGGCTAAATTAATAGATGGAATTTTTTCAGCATTAAGTTTTTGCCCTGTAAATAGTTCTTGAATCGTCGACACCGGTTACCACTTATTTGCTCATCTCTTGCACTCGTAGATATTGATAAAATTAATAAACACGTGGTCAAGGAATACAGATGGAAAAACTCAGATTTCTGATGTCCTAAAGATATTTTCTGCATTATGATTTTTGAGATGTGTGTGCAATCCCGGGAATTAGATGGCAATGCAGTCAACCCTCTGGTTACTATAGTATTTCTAGTTCCTAGGCAAGAATTGGATATATTTGGATTTTAAGGTACTCTGCCAAGACCATCATGGTTTTCAGGTGCTCTGAACAAATTTTCAAATTGCTGCTAATTTTAAGGATATAAACAAAAACTTCGGCCATAGTGAATTTCTGTTAATAGTGGTAGAATAATTTGGAAAAGGATAGTGGTAAAGCTTGTACAACATAATGAATGTAATCAATGTCACTGAATTGTACATGTAAAAATTGTTGAATTGGCAAATGTTTTGTTTTGTATATTTCTACCGCATATGCAAATACACACCAAAAAAACCCCTAAAAAACCAAAAAGTAATTAATCCCTCAGAATTACTCCATCAGAAATGACCAGTGTTCACATGTGATGACTGTTACTTTAGACATCTTTCTATGCATATATATTGTTAAAATAGGAAGTAATAATTTTAAAGAAAGGAGTCATACTATGCATATTTTTTAATTATTAAAATGTTGTTTCATAAATTTAACAGAAGATAAAGAAACTAAGGTAAAATTGAAAGACTTGCTGAGTTTTAGATAAATGTTTCTTCATCTTAAGATCTAAGTTGAGATACAAGGTTATGAAAACCATTAAGAATCTGGAGTCTTTTTCAATTTTATATGGTATCGGTTGACTTCCTGCTATGAAAGATGAGCTGCTATATTTTTTAATGGGCTTTTATGTAGAATTAATAATAGCTATGTTTTTAAGGTTACCCTATTTTTTAATAGGGTAAAAATAAATTCTAACCTAATCTTCTACTTAAGTAGCTATGTAATCTTGAGCAAGTCATTTGACCTTGGACAAGTCATTTGACAATCAGCCACTGAACATCACCAGCTTTTCTGAAAAATGCAGATCATAATACAAGGTTGCTGTGAAAATTAAATGGGCTAATGCATGTGTAACTAATCTGACCTGTTTCATCAGTGTGCATCCAAATAAGTGGTTTATCTATTGATTTTTTTCACTTACTTGTTCAAACCCCACCTTTTCCCCTTGTTAGTAATAAATCCAGATTCCTTGTCTTGAGGCTTCTCCACATGCAGAATGATCTACAATCCCCTGGGACCCTCCTCAGTCACTGCTGTCCACCCTGCAGCTGTGTCCTGTGGCCACGTTTCCCATGAGGCCCACTGCTGCACGGAGGCCCTCACTGGGGACCCTGCACAGTCCACACTGGTGCCCACTGGTCACAGGTCTCTTATCTACACACTCAAGCTCAGCCATCATTTCTAAGTCGCAACCCCTAAGCCAGGGTGGTCCAGAAGTTCTACATGGAAACCCTTAGGAGGGTGTTGGGGGTTCCCAAGACCACTTTTAGGTTTGATGCTTCATTAGAAGGGCTCACAGAACTCAAAAAAGCTCTTCTTCTCACAGTTATGATTTATTACAGTGAAAGGGTACTGATTAAAATCAGCCAAGGAAGAAGGTACATAGGGTGGAGTCCAGGAGAAACCAGGAATAAGCTTCCAGGTGTTCTCTCCCGGTGGAGTCACATGGACAGCACTTAATTCTCCCAGTAACAATGTGCAGCAAGGTGTAAGAAGTATTGCCAGACAGGGAGGCTCACCTGAGCCTTGGTGTCCACGGTTTTTATTGGGTGGTCAGTCACGTAGGCATGGAACACCTGTGTGACTGATCTCATTAGCTACTCAATCTCCAGCCCTTCAGAGCTCAAACCCATACAGCAGGGCCCAAAGCCCCAGGTATACAAAATCAGGCATTCACCATAAATCACATTGTCAGCATCAACTGTCTGTCATGGACCAAGGTCTCAGATAAACAAAGACACTCTTATCAAGAAGAATATCCTAAGAGCTCAGAGATTGTCTCCCAGGGGTCCGTCTCCCAGGACCAGTCCTTTTTTTGGAGTGTGCAAGGTTTGAGCACTTCAGACCTGCTGAGTTAACTCTTCAGTATATAGGTGGCAGTCTGGTTGGCATTAGGGACTAAGGGACTTGTTTTGTTTTTTTTTTTAATTTCAGGCATATAACAAATCATTTTTTATTGTGGTAAATATATATATAACAAAACATTTGCCATTTCAACATTTTTTACGTGTACAACTCATGAACATTGTGTTTGCCTTATTGTGTAACCATCACTATTATCAGTTTCCAATTTTTTTCATCACCATTGACAGAAACTCAGTACCCCTTGAGCAATAACTCCCTTCTTTCCCCCTCCTACCCACCTCTGGTAACCACTAATAAACTTTGGTCTCTATACATTTACCTATTCTAGATATTGCACATAAATGAGATCATATAATATTTGTCCTTTTGTGTCTGATTTATTTTATTTAGTATAATGCTTTCAAGGTTCATCCATTTTGTAGCATATATCAGAACTTCATTTCTCTTTATGACTGAGTAATATTCCATTGTATGTATATACCACATTTTGTTTATTCATGCATCTGTTGATGGACATTTGGGTTGTTTCCATTTTTTTTTTTTTTTAATATTTTATTGTGTTTGATGAAAGTTCACACAGGAAATTAGGTTCTCATTGAACACTTCTATATGGTTCAGTGACATTGGTTATGTTCTTCACAATATATCAGCATTCTCGTTATTTCCATTTTGATTATTCTGTTTCCATTAATCTAGCTTCCCTCTCACCCCCTAGCCTACTCATCTTTGGTCTTTGGTTTCATCTAGACGACTATTTTGAGGAGCACAGTACTCAGCGGGTGATATTGTTTATTTTATGGACCAATTTGACATTTGGCTGAAAGGTGACCTCTGAGAGTGGTTTGAGTTCCAAGTTTAAAGAATATCTCAGGGCGATAGTCTCAGGGGTTCATTTGGCATCTACCAATCCGGTTAAATCTGGCCTTTTTTTTCGGAGTTTGAGTTTTGTTCTACATTTTTCTCCCATTCTATCCAGGACCATGTATTGGGTCCTTAAGGGGCTTGTCTTCATTTCTATGAGTTTGAGAAAATGCTGTTGATATTAAGAATGGGGGGTTGACTTCAGCCAAAGATTAGACAGGCCCATAAAACGAGACTAAAGGGGCACACCAGCTCAGGGACAAGGACTAGAAGGCAGGAGGGGACAGGAAAGCTGGTAATAGGAAACCCAAGTCAAGAAGGGAGAGTGTTGACATGTTGTGGAATTGTTAACCAATGTCATAAAATAATATGTGTACTGTTTAATGAGAAGCTAGTTTTTTCTGTAAACTTTCATCTAAAGTACAATAATAAAAATAAAAAAAGAAAGAATGGAAGGGTTGACTCTGAATCTATTGCCTGGAAATAATTTTTAAACCTCGAACCAAAACTATCCCACGAAGTCATTTTTAAACTAAACAGTTTAGCTCAATTAATAAAGAATATTTACTTTGAGCATTGTACTCTTTTAAAGAATTATCTATATGAGAGCAAATTGACAACAGTAACCCTAAAGCACGGATGAGAACTTTAGGGGACAGAGACCCTAAGTTAATGGTGGTGAAATAATATGGAAGAGGTAGTGAGAACGGTAACACAACGTGAAGTATGTAACCTTTGTCTGCACACGAACTGCGCATGTAAAAACTGTTTAATGGGGGTATGTTTTGTTGTGTATATTTTCACCAAAAATGAGATGAAGAATGGGGAGTTGATGGCGCTGTCCCGTGCTGTGCCAGGATGACCTTGGCCTTGGGGATAAGCCCAGGGTGCCGGGCCAGACTTCCTCATGGTGACTACCCATCCAGTATCCTTTTCTACCTGGGTCTTCTCGTTCCATCAAGTAGCTTCTAAGACCAGAGCTACTTGGTCCCTAAACAGATGTGCCCCACTCCTCCCCGGTAGCCCATTTATTACCCCAACGGGGCAGTAGTCTCTGTCAGGCCACGAAAGGAGCCATTTCACACTTCTCACAGAGCAGTGGGCTCCTGTGAGCCTCGCATTTACCCTTCAAAAGCCACTCAGAATAATACGCCCCTGGCAAGTGACGGAAAATCCAGCCCAAGTTTGCTTTGGCAAAAATGTCAAAGTATTGGATCCCATAAGCTGGACATCTGGTGGACATCTGTTTGGGCAGCCCACCCTGTCCGCCTTCCCATTCCTCCCCGCCCTCCCTTCTCTCCCCACCGCATGTCTATTATTGTAATGAGCAGAGCTTCATGTGCTTTTAGTAACCGCAGTGATGAAGACGACCTCCCTCCAGACTTGGCCGAGGCAGTGGGAGTGACCACAACGACAACCACAACCTCCACTACAACCATCACCACCACACAAGTCTCAGTGCCGCTGGCATCTCCCAAGGTCCAGAAAGTCAGCTCGCCTCAGAAGTCAGAAGGCAAGGGTCAGCCATCCCCAGGGGCCAAGGTATGGGGGAAAAGCCCTGAGAAGTAGCAGAGCTTGGTGGGAATTCAGTATACATTTTGGGGAGCGGCATCCTGTGTGCATAAATGACTGTGTACACACTCAAAACAACAATAAGAACCACCAAAACATGCTCTTTAACTAACCAGTTGCAAAACACAAGCCAACTGTTTATAAGAGACAAATAGTACAGTGTAAAGCCATGTACACTGTATGTACTTCAAGAGCAATTTAAGTGATTTTTGAAGGCAGTTCTGATTTTAGAATATCATCCCTGCATAAGATATTACTACACTGTAAACACAGAAAGTGAAAAATGTTTTTCCCCCGTAATGGACAATTTGGAGGAGTAAAAGCATAGAATATCTCCATTCCTTATACTGGGTAAAACAACGACAGCAACAAAATCCCAGTTGCATCAAGTTGATTCCAGCTCATAGCAACCCCATGTGTGTCAGAGTGGAGCTGCGCTCCATAGGGTTTTCAAGGCTGTAACTTTCAGAAGCAGATTGCCAGACCTTTCTTCCTAGGTGCCTCTGGATGGTTCAGAGCAGCCACCTTTCAGTTAGTAGTCACTTGCGCCACCCAGGTACTGGAGAATAAAGCACCACACGTATGTGAAAAGTATTATTACCATCATTAGATGACACAGGCAAACTTGGATGCCTCCTGGCACCTCAAGTTGGGTTTGCCTCAGCGGTGGGGCGTCCCGTCTTAAGTGTGTACAGGCTCTTATCATATATCCCACACCATGGTTAAAACCAGGCTGAAATATTTACAAAACTTGATTGCAGGCTTAGGAACAACCGAAAGGCGTTCCAGGGGCATGCGGGCGGTATCCTACCAGAGGCCATAGTGCTCCCTCTCCTGGCCGTCTCTCTCCTTAGGACTTGCCAAGTTGATGGGCTCATTTTTCTCCTCACGGAGGACCTTGTGGGGGGTGGAGGTGGGGGGGCTGCCCATGTTGCTGAGGCCCTGGGGCAGGAGGAAAAAAAATTTTTTTTTTTCAAAAAAGAAACACAATTTTCCGAGGTACCACCCCCGACCATGAAGATCTTCCTCATTATTGTGCAGATCAGGTTAAACTCTTTGAGGCCTTTTCTCTCTTGATTCAGGATGGAATCTTTGTTCTCCTTGTACACATTCAAAGGGTTCCTCAAAGTGTATTTCCCAAAAGACCAATCAAAGAACATTCTAAGAAAAGTTGTTTGCAGATTTAAAAATGACTTTCACTGTCCCACTCCACTCCTTACTTCTACCTATTAAGGTTTCAGAAAAAAAAAAAACATGATTCAGTCTCCACATTTTGTACACTGCTGAGCGAGGGAAATATCAGAAAATTGTCATGATAATGTAGGAGTCCCTGGGTGGTACAAATGGTTGGTTGGCCTTTCAAACCCACTCAGAGGCACTTCAGAAGGCCTGGTGATCTGCTTCCAAAAGGTCACAGCCTCAAAAACCCTATGGAGCACAGTTCTATTCTGCAACCATGGGATTCCATGAGTATGAATCGATTCCACAGCAACTAGTTTGGTTTTTTTGTTATTATTATTATTATTTTGGTCATGATAATGAGGCCAGTGTTAGAAAGAGGGTAAGGGAGAGGTTGGGTACCTCTGTCTTCTGGTTAAATTCAGTGTAAGCTAGGATTGTCAATCCAGAGCTGTCACTAACCAGGAGTATTTTTGTCTGTCTTCTTAGAGCCCCTCTGACCGAGGAGGTACCTTTACCTTGGAGCCAGGTGATCTTCTGATGGATTTCACAGAAGCCACTCCTCTGGTAAACTTTCTATTTTGCTAAAACCAGAAAAAACACAGATCATAGAACTATCTTGGCAGTGGGACAGATGGACAGGGGTGGGCAGCACTGTTGGGAAGGGTCTTCTTCTTGTCCTGCTCACAGCCTGGAAGCTCAGGGAGCTTTCTTCTAGGGTTCAGTCCCCATGGGCCTCTCCACCTCCTGGAGCCCTTGCGGGAAAGAGGTGCTACCTTTCCTCTGAGGGTGGTTACAGGGGTCCTTCCCGCTCCTGTCTGCTGCATCTGAAGTGTTATAGGGCTCCTCGGTGCTTGAGCCTCAGCTTCGTGGCTTTCTGGACTGCGCCCTGCATGCCCACCAATGGGGAATCTCTTGCTGTCGCTTCCCAACAACCTGCTGTGGTCTGAAGTGCTGGCTCAAGCCTCATCCTGGTCTTCCAGGCCCCTAAGTGTCTCCCCACCATCCTCCATCCCCTACATACACTTCTGCTGTTAGGGATGGTGGCTCTCCTGGGACTCCTGCAGGTGATAAATCCTTCCTGGGAGAGAGCACTGGACCAGGAGTCACGCAGACTGGACCCAGCTCCAATCTCTGCTCTCCTTCTTAAGAGCCTTGTCATTGAATAGTCATCGCCCATCTTCTATAAAATAAGAATGTCATTGTCTGCTGTGTCTACATCACAGAATTGTTATAAGGATCACATGAGAGAGAATCCTTGGAGAATAGAGTACCACAAATATGTGCAAGGTATTATTATCGTTAGATGATGCAGGCAAACTCGGGTGTATCTGTGGCTGGACTGAACTTAGTACCCAAGTGAACTTGAGCATCGATCAGAGTCTGCAAATTTAGAATGGGAGTTAAAGTGTGAGTCGGGTGGAGAAGTATCTGCTGAGAGCACACTGCCCAGCCGTGTGCTAGTCTCTGGGGGCTACAGACTAGAGGGGAACTCAGGTGGCTAAACAGCCAAAGACGTGAGAGCTACGTAGAAGAGCTCATGGATCGTCGGAAGTGGGAGTCATTCAGCGCGGATTTGCTGGAGGAGGACTGTAATGGATGGGAAGGAATTCTGGGAAGACTTCCAGGAGATAGTAAATGGGGCAAAATGCTGTCCAGGTTTTAGGAATTATCGCTGTTCTTGCCTTGGCTAGCGCAGGAAATCATTTATATAATTGTACTTCTAATCTGGAGAAGTGGTACGATTTGAGAGCTTCAAGTCAATGCCTTTGGATAAATAGCTGAGAGCTGATGGGGGGGTGACACCCTGCTCTGTGAACCGCTCAGAGTTACCTCTCTCCTGTGTTCAGGTAAACATAGCAAGGTTATTCGTGGCCTTCTTATTAGGCAAGTTGCCAAGACTGTTCACAGATGGAAGGGTTCTTCTGCCCTTCAGAGAGGGTAACCTAGAGATAAAGGGCCCTCTACCATTACCTCTTTGTGTAGATGGGGAAAACTGAATTCCAGAGTTGGGTAATCCCACAGGGACTAAGCTGGAGCTGGATCCCGGGTTTCTGGACTCTCTTCCAGTGCTCTCTGTGTCACATTGGGTTAAACCCAGACTCCTCTTAGGGAACTTGCCATTTTGAAGAAGAGCAATGTCTGGAAGAAGGGCTGCATTTAAAGCATTCCCCAGACTGGGAAAGGAGAGGAATGGGGCTTGGTGGAAGAGACAGGAAACTTGGCAGCTTGGGCCTAGTGCTACAGTCAAAATGCAAGGCCTTATTTGTGAGAGCTAGGAGCAATCTGAGGATATCCAGTCTAGCTGGAGGGCAGAATCCCCCAGAGGGACCCGAGAACCCCTAAGGTACAATCTAAGGGCCTATGAAGGCAAGAAGGGAAGAAAAGCAAGTTCCCAGGGCCATGTTGAAGAGAACATGCCTGGCAGGAATAGAAGCTGATGAGGGGAAGATATCTCTTAAGCAGCTCCCAGGCTGCTAAAATATGCTGCAATAGATGCCATAAGAGATTCCATATAAACTGCTACTGATGTGGGACCAAGTATCTAACCCTGTCTGGAGGCAGTGGGGAAATGAAAACTTCATTGTGCCTGGGTTTTGAAGTATGAATAGAAGTTTGCCAGTTGGAGAAAGTAGACCAAGGCATTCTATGCAGAAGGCACAACATGAGCAAAGTACTGAGTATTTCTTAAAGGGCCCGGTGGATATGAGAACTGGGGTCAGTTTACAAAAAAACAAAAAATACATCACGGCTTTGACAGGAGTGATGGGTTTCCCTTAGAGACTATTATGTTCTATGAATCCAGCTTGTAGATATAATGACCCTATCTTTTTGTTGATGGAGCATGACTGACTGAGATTAGAAAGGAAGCTAAGATTCTGGCAGGACTATGCCCCCCTCCAGCAACAAGCTCATTTGCCTCTCCCCAGAGTACCCCATTCACATCTCTGGACAGCTCTGACTCAGCTCTGGAACAGGGTCCAGGGAGCTGACATCTTTCCACTGTGCCAAGACACGGCTGCCAGCCTCCGGGCCAAAGTTTACAATGACTACGTGTTCTCAGGATGAAGCATCCTTTGTCTTGCTTGTGTGAATATGAGGCATGTGTGCATGTGTACAGGACTCAGGGAGAAGGTGTGCCTGAGGTCTGGCATTTAGCCAGAGCCCACTCCCTTTTGGGCTTCCCTCAGCACCATTGGCTTTGACCTTACAGTGCTGCAGAGACCTGTCTCACTGAGTGCCTAGCAGGTGAAGGGGCCTAGAGAAGGAGAGCAGACTCAGGCAGTGGCTTCTCCCTTCATCTGGTCCTCTTCCCTCCATCTCCTCCTCCTAGCATCTCTCCGGTTTTGCTGTTAGAGTGCTCTAAGGGGGGTGTCTGTGTCTCAGAGGACAGCCCAGGAGAGAGTGGACTCAGGGTCTGGGACTGGGAAACTTGCTCCCAGTCAAGGCTTCCTGGTGCCACTGTATCAGTAACCGTACCTGCCTCTGTGGATCATGGGGGGTGAGGCCTGCAAGGGGCTTCTTTATGCACCCCCAGAAGGAGCCAGGAGCAGAGAGAGGCGACGGCACCCCCCATGCCGGACTTGTGACCAGGACTTCCCCAACTACTCAGACCCAGACAGTCAGCTGGAATAGTTTCTTGAACCATCTTGTCACTTACAGATGGAGAAATGAAGGCCACAGAGGGGCAAGCACTTGTACTAGGTCACATAGCCAGTCTGTGTCAGAGCCAGGACTAGAACCCAGGCCCCAAACTGCTGTCACAGCAATTTTCACAGTGGCACGTGGCCTGAGCCAGGACATGTCTCTCTCCTTCCCCACTAACCAGCCCCCTCCCATGGAGCTGGTAAGATGCCCTAGCCTCAGCTCTATCCCCTAGAGCCCAGCCGGGGGCAGCTCTGGGACCATCTCTAAGTCCTCAGCACAGGTTTGGTCCCTAGAGTTGCTTAGTGGGGCATGAGGAAGGGAGGTGCTCAGGTACTTGTCTCAGAGGCTCAGCCTGGATGAGGCCTGGTTCCTTTGCTGCCAGCTCTGTGAGTGGACACACCTTAGCATCTGGCCACTTTCTCCGGGCCTTGCCATTGGTATTTCCCTTCAGCAGAGGAAGCAGCATTTGGCAGAGCAAGGATGTCAAAGCTTCCCTGGTGATACTCATCACACAGGCGTTTAACCCTCCTTCATGGACACTTTTCCGTGCAGCCACCTACAGAGCTCACAACCTGCCTCGAGCCCCCTCCCTCCTGTGGATGAGGCTCTGAAAGCCCCCACCAGCTGCCCTAGCTTCTCAGGCCAGCACTGGAAGGACAGAGAACTGGAGAGAGAGGAGTGGGACCAGATTTTCTTCCCTTGATTCAGCAACGTTCCACCAAGAGGCTATCAGAACTAGTGTAACCCTTTAACTCTTGCCCCTCCCATCCAGTCTCCTTGTGGAGTGGGTTTCCAAGAAGCACAGTCCAGACAGCCAAGAGTAATAAAAAGGTTCAGTCTTTGCCTGGCATCTCTCAAAACTCTTTAAAGAAGATTAAATTAATAACTCCTGGCAGAACTTCTTAAATCTCTTTTTGCCTTCACCTCAGTTCTCTTGCACCCTGCCACTACTCTAAGGACTTTCATCTCAAACTTTCCACAAAAATACTCTTTCCAGCTTCACTCTTACAACCTTTTTTCTCCTTTTTCCAAATATTTTCTTCTTCAATCACCAACTCTTTTATTATGCAGATCAGTTTATCAACTCTTAAGCCTTATAACCTTGCAGTTCGTTTTCTGCCCATTTCCAGATTCTGGATCACAGTAGTTCATAATCTGATCTGAATTGCTTGGGTAGGGCTGGGGGAGGGGGGAGTGGAGATGAATACAGAAGAGGTGGGGAGTGGAACTGGGAGGGGTACAGACAGCACCCACTCTCCATTTCATCTTCTCTTTTGGGGTGTGCATATATGTGTGCATCGGGTTGCTGGTGATAGATGAGGGGGGCTAGAAGGAGGCCACATTTACAAATAAATAACACTGGAGTGTGGATTCCTGCCCCCCACTCCAGGTCTGTTGTGCTAGCTTCCCTCTCAGGTAACACAGAATATAAACATCTCTGCCTTCTGAATTCTGGCTTTCTTTTTGGACCATCTCTGATTCCCATACTTCATGAGCCACTCACCCAACTGCAAAGCAGAGCCAATCAGAACTCAGGTGTGTTCTGGGCTGTGGAATGTTAGTCAAGAGTTCTTGTGTCAGGGAGGAGGTAGGCCTGGCCAAAGGAAGGCTGTTAGTGCACAGGGACAGGCCCTGGGTTGGGCATCGGGAGAACTGGGTTCCCCTCTGGCTCAATAACTTATTTTTTATTTTGAATCTCATTCTACCAGGAGGGCTGAAGCTTAATCTCAAGTCAAACCAGGGTACCCCTTCTTTCTCCATGGAGTTTTATCTATATTCTCCAGAGCGCAGGGAGGTAGAGGGAGGTCTATTTCGTCCATGATGTCATCTGTTCACTGATACGTACGAGCACTCTCTCTTCTACCTTCATGCCCCTTTTGGGTAGGTGAAAACCACTCTCCTGCTGGGGTGTGTGAATCCCTGCCTGCTGGACAACACAGTAGCCTACCTCCCAGGCTCTACCTGAGCAACAGGGTACAGAAACTCTCTGGTCTTGAATTCCTGTGTCTCTGACTGATTTGGCCCATGGAGGAGGGGGCACAGGGCCCCTTTCCTCAGTACTCCTAATGTCTACCTCCCTCTGACTTTTCTCATCTCAAACTGGTAATCTCTTTTCTATCTGGATGATGAAGGAGACTGACATGCTTTCAACCCATTTGTCTATGCCAAGAATCTTTTCTGCTCCCCAAAGAATTGGATTTTGAAACTCAAAAGGCAATTATCTGTAGAAGAACCTAGCTGCCTGAATGTGGAAAAGACCCAAGGAAAAAAGGAAATACCAGGAGCAAAACATAAAATGGTGATTCAAAATAGTATCCTATTACATGTGTTATCTTATTTCACTCTTATTTAATTAGAGTCAAGAGTGTGGAAGCCCAGGGATGTTCAGTCAGATGTAGATTTGGAAAGGTCAGAAATGCTTGCGGGAATGGATCAACATGTCTTTACCGTAAAAGTCCAACACTGGGCAAGGCCTTAAGTCATTCTTTATCATCTTGAGTTGCGACATATTTTGGCCTCTATGCATTATGTCCCTGTCCATGTTTCGTTATCATTTATGGCAGTTTTTCTTCTCTTCTGAAGACACACATCAGTGCCTGCTATTATAAGCAGGGACAAAGGTCCCTGGTGTAGTTGATTCTGGCTGGAGCCTTGATGCATTGGGGCAGTGTCAAGAGCTGAGACTGGAGGGCTGGCAGGAGTCAGCTTCATGCTGACCTTGTCATCATCTTACAAAGCTTAGGGTTTACCCTGAGGGCCATAGAGAGAAGTAGAAAGGTTTTAAGTAGGCCGGTAAAAGTGGACTGCAGAACGTAGAATAAGGACTAAGGATTCACTTGTCTGTGAAAAATGGTTTTAGAAATGATCAACATGAGGGCCTAGAAACCATGGATTTAGACTTTGCAAACACAATTTCTGCATCCCTCAAATTTGAATAGTAAAATAAGGCTGTCGTGAAGACCATTGTGGGAGAATGGTTGTCAAAGCCCCTTGGAAATTGTCTAGAACTGCACAATTGTGAAAAGGACAGACTTAGATCGATTTGGAGAAGGAAAAAAGGCCTGCAATTTTCTTGATCATTTTTCAGTGAAACTTGCCCAGGTGCTGTATTTTATTCTTTATGGCAGGATGATACCAATAATTTCAAGGAAACTCTCTTGAACTAAAAAATGTGTGTATTTGTTTTCTGGAGTGAAAAGTTTCTCCTTGAAACCCAAAGTAACCTTGTCAGCTGCTCCTATACCTACATCAGAGCATTCTTTGTTCACCATCCTCATCCTCACCAATGCAAGCTGTTGGGCCTCTGCTGTCTGCATGGCATGATTCTGGGGCTGGGATGGGAAACTTGGACCCCAAATGGCGTGACATTTTTCTCGCAATGCTTGGTGTCTTTCAGTTAAGCAGCAAGGTACCCCAAGTATCCCACCTTAAAGGTCAATACAAGACTCCAAGGCCTGGGCCCATGGACATGCAGAGGAAGAGAGGGGTCAGGGCCAGTAAGTTTTCTGAACACAGATAACAAAGAGCCATGACAGTTCAAATCCTAAACCATATGTTCCTCCTTCCTAATATATCTCTCCTCTAGTGCTGTCTTTTGGACGTGCACTCACGTACACACCACAGAAACACATATCGTGTGCCCTTAATTTGCAGGCTGCAGGAGGGCCCTGAGCATAGAAGTAAATACTATCAAGTGTGTGGCCACTTCTCACACTGCTCCCATGGCAGACCTCACTAACTGATCACGGCTCTCTTTCTGGTTTGGCCTGGGCAATGCTTCAGAATCCTCAAAGGCATGCCAGGAAGCCACTATCAATCCTGGGGAGTTGACACAGGAGATGAGCACTACCTGCCAGTCCTGGGAATGGGTTTTGTTTTAATCGTGGTAAACATATATGTAACAAAACATTTGATATTTCAACAATCTTCACATGTACCTGGGAATGGGTTTTGATGTGTCATTCTGCTGGAGAAGACAGATGAGGGCCAGAGAGGAGGAGAGAAGGCTGAGAGAAGAGGGAGGAGGGAGGGGTTAGAAGCCAGTTGGCCAGAGGCTGGAAGTCGGCTGCGGGCCAGGCTGGCTTTAGAGCAGTCCAGCGTTGACAGATCTGTCTTGCACTGTGCTATCTTTCTCTCCTTCCCCCTCCCTTATCTCCTCTTCCTCCTCCCCCTCTCTCACCACCTCCTCCTACCCTTCTCTCCTCTCCTCGTGAGCAGGCAGAGCCCGCCAGCGCCCCACACTGTGCCCACTCTCGCTGTTCTCCTCCACTCTCTCTCCCCATGAAGGAAGAGCCCACTGGAGTTTGCATGCACCCTCCAATCAAAACGAGGCTGGTAGGTACCTGGCAGGGCGAGGGGCCTGTGAGGAGAGGCAAGGTGGGCAGGAGCTCCCAGGCAGCGGCCAGAAGGGCACGCATGGGTGCCAGACCTCCAAAGAGCCAGGCTTTCAGGGGCTCTCCGTTCAAGATGGATGGAGAGTTTGGAGTCCGGCCAGCCCTGGTCAAGCTGGGACACGTGATTTTTATCCCACATCTTTGCCTCTAGGCCTCAAGAACCAGGAAAAGTTTGTTTTCCTAGAGTTTTGATGAGTGAGCACAGATGTTTTTTCCCCAGAGAAAAAAATATGGTCTAGTACTCACCAGACAGACTGTTAGTTGTATTTCTATTGAAAATGAAAACTATTTTTACTTTTCTTCTATTGCTATGTATCAAGATACCAATACACTAGGAGAATTCTGTAACAATTTAAAGAGTTCACCCCTAATCCAACCTAGCATGATTTTTTTTCTATTTTTACATGTTTCCTTCCAGTATTTATTCATATCCATTCATAGTTTTTCGTAGTTGTAATCTTAGGGTGCATATTATTTCCTGTTTTTCTCTTTTCACTTAACGTGGTGCTGTTGGGGTTTCTCTCTTATCCTTGTTACCACGTTCTATCAGACCGTCACTGTTCCGTCATTTACCGTCATTTACCTAACCAATTCTTTACTGCGGGACGTGGGCTTTGTTTCCAGTTTTTCACTGTTCAAGGGAACATAGCTTTTTACATCAGGTGTTTTATTTTCTTAGGCTAGACCCTGCTGGGTTAAATAGTGCAACTTTGACTTTTGCTCTGTTTCTAAAGTGGTTATACCAATTGACAGTGCCATCAGAAGAGAATGAATATGCTTTGCCACAGCCTGACCAACACAGTGTGTCTATTGGAATATATTTTTCTTATTTAGAGCAGGTATAAGATAATTCTTTGAAGTTGCTTCATATTTCTTTGCTTAATAGCAATAACAAAAACGCCCTTTCCCCTTCTACTTCATGATATTCTGAGAGTTTTATCTACATTTCACTTTGATATAGATCTCAGAACACCATGTCGGACCATTTAGCAACATAAGGACTATGCCTGTTGGCAGTACGAGGTTTCAGGGGCCCACCCCTCGGATGAGCTTGAGAGTCCTTCTTATACTGTGCTGCAGGCAGCTGCTACCAGCAATCAGAGCTGGCACCTGAGTCTAAAGGCAGTTTGGGGTCCATTCTGGGAATTCTGAGATGTTTAAAGAGACTGAAGACAGTTCAGGGAAGGGGAGAAGCTTGGGCTAGACGTTTCAGTTCAGTGCACAATGCAAGGACATTGTCACCCTAGGTGGGGAGAGTGGTTCCCTTCACCCGTTCAGAATGCCTCGGCATATCTGGGTCTGTTCTAATGTGTTTTTACTCATCCCTCCCTTATGCTTCCCCTTAGAGTGGCTCACAGAATCTAGTAGCTATCCCAGGGTCCACAGGCAAGACCCTGAGAGACACAAAGACTGCTGCCATTGGGCAGTGGTGGCCTTGGTGTCCTGGACACAGCCCTCTGGCAGCTGAGTGGCACAATGTCCATTCAGCCAATAATTGTGCTGGAAGCTGCAGGCCAAGCTAGAGTTGGCGTCATTGAGCCTTTGGACCTTGTAGTACCCTAGTCCTGCTTAGAGAAATAAGCCCCAGCATTCCCCAAGGCCTCCAGGAAACCAAAGACAGAATGACCAAAGAAAGAAATGGAAGCAAAGGCTCTTTGGGCACCATTATACCTGACCAGGTTGGAGCATCCAACCTCTATCAGACCAGCCCCGTGCTGAGGCTGCTCCAAGCCCTGGCACTTCTGAACACCATACCTTCTTTCCTAAAGGCCAGGGTTGTAGAGTTCCTGCATGCTTGTGTGGGTTCCCGTGAGGTTTTCTTCTATTGCCCAAAGTTTACAGGCAGTCCAACAATGAAAGTGAATAGACAGGGAATATTTTTTGGCCTAATTAGCCCCAGGCCTCCTAGTACCCTGCCTGCTGTGATAGACTGTGTCCCAGGATGTGACCTCCCAGCAGTCTCTAAGCTGTTCCCCACAGCTGCAGAAAAGCCATAAGAAGCCACCCCAGGCAGCCCTGCTTGCCTCATTATCCACCCTGAGCATGGTCTTTTGTGGGTCAAGCCATACATAGGAGCCAGCATACCAGGGGGGTCCTGGGCTACAGAAGCAGACCTTAGGGAAGGGAGTTCCAGGGCGAGGTAAACACAGGATGCTCTGCCAGCAGGCATACCTGCTGAGGCCCAGCCCCGCAGTACAACTATGGCACAGATATCCCCCCTTGCAGCCCTCCTGAGGGACCCTTTGTGCATTTCCTTACACAAGCTATAAAGTCTCTGCCTGTGTGTTTCCCTGGATCCTTCAGGAGGCTTAAAAGTGTGCTGCCAATAATTTCAAAACTTTGTTTTCTAATCCAAAAGTAACACTCTTTTCTTTCTTTTTTTTTTTTTTTTTTGAAGATAAAAACATTCCCGGCTGATACAGTGAACCCATTTCCTGAGCCTTTCACCACAGGGCCACAGTTTACTGTAAGTCAATCCAGAAAACAAATCATCGTTTGAAAACATGGTTCCCAAGTGGCGTGCTTTTCATTGGAATGCCAGACAACAATGCTAACAACTTCTCTTGATCACTGTGAACTTGGTGTGGTTGGGAAGGAGCTGGGATTTGGGGTTTGGAGATTGAAGTAAGTGCCCTGGATCAGCCTCTTGATAGTTGATAGGTAAGTTACTTTACCATTCTGAGCACCCTCCTCTTATTTAAAGTGGAAATTTTAATAAGAATATCTTCCTTATATCTGCTGGAGGCAAAAGTCAAAAAGGATGAAGGATTTGAAAGTATTTCATCAACCATGGAGTCCGTGGGTTGTGCGAACAGTTAAGCGCTTGGCTACTGACTGAAAGGTTGGCAGTTCAAGTTCACCCAGAGGGCGTCTTGGAAGAAAGACCTGGAGATCTACTTCTGAAACATCATAGCCATTGAAAACCCTATTGAGTGCAGCTCTACTATGACACACGTGGGGTTGCGATGAGTTGAAACTGACTCGACTCAGCAGCAACTGGTTTGGTTTAGTTTTACCAACCACAAAACATTCCACAAATGTTGATTCCACAATTATGATTGTTGTTTCACCAGGCTGAAGCTGCAGGGTGGTGCAGTTAACAAGACCAGCTAGTCATGTGACAACCAGCTTCTTGTTACCACCTCTCAGTCTGTCTCTGCGCAGCTTGTTTAAGCTCTCAGCAAAATGTTTAAATGTCTTTAAATGTTTAAATATTACAGTTTCCTCATCTGCAAAAAGGTTTGGATGATTTTCCAGCAATTTTTCAGCTGTTCAACTTTTCTTCAAATGAAAGCTTCCGTGGACACTCACTACAACGAGCTGCTATATGGAGCAGAAGTGGGGAGCCCAAGGTCCCCTCCTTCTTCCTCTTACCTTCTTCTGTCAGGGATCAGAGTTTGCAATCCATAAAACTATATGATCCCACAGGCTCCTTCCAAACTGTCTCTGGCCTGTCTGGAGGATCTATAAGGTGGGCTGTGAAGTGGTCTAGGGGTGGCTCTAAGTGCAGTCTCAAGAGCTGGAGGAAGGCCACTCCCTGAAGCCACATGGAGAGGGAGGGAAGGAGCAGTGGCTGATTTCAGTTTCAGAGGATGAACAGAGAGGTGAGGAGGTGTCCAGCTGTCCAGGCAGAGCAAAAACCACGTTCCTAGGACGATCCATTTCCAGGGTCATGAGCTACTTCTAGCACTGGCCTTTTAAGATCCACAGGGCAGAGACACTGGGGCCGGGCCAGGATGTTAAACACTACTCCCCAGATGTCCATCCCGGCCCCTGCAGTTCTGCGGGACACAGCTCCCCAGCTGGAAGCTCCAACCTCATTTCCCTCACTTGGCCGTGGTGGACCACTCTGGCCTCCTGCCCAGCCTTGGCAGTGCTGTGAGACACCCCGGGAGCCCTTCCTGAAAGCTGGAGGCCAAGATGGAGCAGGAAGCCAATATCAGAAACCACACTGAGACTTTTAAGAATTGGGCAAAAGTGGCCTGGAGGCAGCTGAAGCAGGCAGAGGGCACAGCATGAACCAGAGTCCTGGGGCAGCAGGGGTCATCACACATTCAAGACTCTGCAAAGAAGGTCAGTGTGGCTGGTTGCCGAGAGTACGAGAGTACAGGGAGATGGGTGTGAGAACAGGAAGGAGAGGTAGGCGGGAGCCACACACTGCAGGGGCGAAACCACATTAGGGATTCTGATCTTTATCCTAAGAGCAACAGGAAGCCTTTAAAGGATTTTAAGCAGGTCAGTGACAGCCAGGGTAGATGCATTTGGAAGTAATGCATGAGGGTACAGTTGGGTTCAGGCCAGAGTGAATTCCAGAGCACTAGGTAGAAATCTAAGACAAGGAGAGAGGGCAGAGAGCTTGATCCTGAGTGGTTTTGATGGTGGAGGTAGAGAGAAATGCACAGATGGGGACATATTTAGAAGGTTGGTAAGGAATTTGGTTGGATGAAGAGGGGTCCCAGATTTCTGATTTACAAAACTTGGATGGACAACAGGTTCATTCACTTAGATAAGGAAACTTGAAAGAAGACTGGATTGGGAGGAATAATAATTTTGCCTTTGGCCATTATGCATAAGAAAAACCTTTAAAATATCCAGATCGAAAGAATGAGTGGGCAATTGGATAGCCAAGACTGGAACTCAAGTAAGAGGACTAGACTATACACGTTGCCATGGAGTGGAGTCTGACTCATAGCGACCCTATAGGACAGAGTAGAACTACCCCATTAGGGTTTCTAAGGAGTGACTGGTGGATTTGAACTGCTGACCTTTTTGTTAGTAGCCATGCTCTTAACCACTGCACCACCATGGAGCTACTCGCCATTGGATGGTAACTGAAGCCAAACTCATGGACTTTAGCCTCCCAATTTTTCTCACCCACGTGTGTCACATTCTGTGCTTTCCACCAAGATCAAGATGCTTGACCTTGCTCAGGTTTAGCTTCTTCACAGCCTCCAGACTTATCCTGCCCACAGTCATAGGGTAGTTAACGCAGCTCTAGGGAACTCTGCACAAAGTTGGTCTGGCTGTTGATCCAGCATTCATCTTGGGGCCTGCTTTCAACAATTGGCCTCCTTGTGTGATCCTGAGACTAGTTTCTACCTTGTATTCAGGTTGTTAACTGGATCTCTGCTTGATGCCCATCTAGTGCTCTGGCCCATCTAGGACGAGGGACCCTGGCTTGCTCTGGACAAGTTTGTGTCCAGTGTTCTTCTTCCTAACCTGGTCTGTCCCTCTGTTACCTATTTGTTCCAGGGAGAGTTTATACATGCACTCATTCAACAAATATTGAAAAGATGAGTACTTAAGTTTAAAATTTAATAATATTAGTAATTTTTACTGCTTCCTCAAGGTCACTCTTAAGTGAAATCAGCGTGATTTTTTTTATTCACTTCAAATGAATAGCAGTGAAGAACACAATGACTGCCAGTACAGTTTGGTGCCACTGCCTTGATTTATACTAAGGGCCCAGCACTTTAACCCCCCATCGCCTTTGAACCATCAGTGCAAATTTCCCTCTTTTTCCAGAGGGAATCAAAAGTGGCATTTCGTAGCTCAACCTCTACCTACTTCACTGAAGCAACAAGAGAACTTCTAACTCCAGTTCCTGTATCAGGCAGGATAGGCTAAGTCATGCTTTAACATGACAGGTTGAATTTCCTACTCATACTACATGTCATGGGTGGACTGAGGGCTCTGCTGTGTGTTGCCCTCTTTCTGAGACCCAGGCTAATGGAGCAGCCACCATGGCGGATGTTGCTAGTCACAGTGACAGAGAAAAAAGAAGAGAGGCGACAAACTGGCTCTTAAAGCTTTCAACAGAGGTGAAACACAGCATCTCAGCCCACATTTCATTGACTCGAACAAGGCACATGGCCACATTGAACTTCAAAGGGGGTGGGAAGTTCAATCCTGCCATTTGCCTGGAAAGAAATCATGGACAATATGCATGATTGCTACAGCTACTCTTCATTGCCCAACATCTGTGAAAGCTCTCTGTGGCAAACATCATTTGCTATACAAATGTAAGTCAGATGCTCCTGTTCTGGTAGTTAATACTTTGACATGGCTCCATTGCAGGCCAGATCAGTTTTCCCTTTAGAAGCAGGTGTAAAACACAAACAGGGGCTTGCATTACTCAGCAATAACCTTGCAGGGCCCTAACCCTCACAGATAAGCCTTCTCCTCCCCATTCCTGAACCAGATACACCCTTACCGAACTACAGCTGTACTTGGGATTTTCACTGGTTTTCCGTGGTTCCCTAGGAGGGGCAGCTCATCCGTATAATGACAAAGAAGATATTGCCCATTTGATGATCATGACCTCTTCTTTAAGAAGCTATGTGATAAATTCCTCTGAGTTTAGGACTAGCAACTAGTGTGGAAAATCAAGTTATAAAATGTATGGCTGGAATGGTTACACAACGTGATGAATGTAATCAATGTCACTGAATTATACATGGAAAAATTGTTGAATTGGCAAATGTTTTGTTATATACACATTTTTTAACCATGATAAAAAATATATATATAGCTAGTATTATCAAAATGGTGCAAAACAAACAAAAGCTATGCACAGGAAAAAATACTACAAGAACTATATTAACGCTAATAGTAAGGGATTATGGATTTTTTTTATTTATCTACCCTTATACATCTTCTAAATTTTCTATATAAAAGTTATCAGTGTGTCTTGCTTTGTAATGAAAACAACAACAGTAAATTATCCTCCCCCAATGAGGCAGTGTGCTGTAGACCAGTGGTTCTCAAACATCAGAATCACCTGGAGGTTTTGTGAAAACACAGGTTGCTGGATTCCATTCCCAGAGATTCTGGTTCTGAAAGTGTTGGGTGGGGTCTGGGAATTTGCATTTTTATTAAAAGTTTCCAGATAATGCTGATACAGCTAGTTCTGGACCATACTTTAAGAACCACTGCTATAGTCAGGGGAAACACCAACTACATGGTCAGTTAACCCTGGTGTTGCAGTGGTGAAGCGTGTGGCTGCGAACCAAAAGGTCAGCAGTTTGAATCCACCAGCCGCTCCTTGGAAACCAACTCGACTCAATGGCAACGGAGATTTTTTTGTTTGTTTGTTTAACTCTGGTTCTGAATCCTGGTTCTTCACATTTACTGTATGACCTTGGGCAGATCACTTCTCTGACCCTAACTTTACTTTCCCATCAAATCAGTTCTAAGATGTACATTTCTTCACCTTTTAACATCTCTGAAATCAGAATATTTATTACAGCAGTGGGTGTGATCTAGTTTGGGTGGTCACATTTTTCTTTCTTCATGGCGCGTGCAAAAATGGTCCATCGTACCACTGATAATGTCTAAGGTGTTATGAAATATGGTATCTACCTTAAAAAGCTGTCAAGAGATAATGTATATAAAGGGCCCAAAGTACATCAAATGGAGAAAGGACAATCTTTTTAACAAATGGTGCTGGCAAAACTGGATGTCCATCTGCAAAAAAATGAAACAGGACCCATACCTCACACCGTATGCAAAAACTAATTAAAAATGGATCAAAGACCTAAATATAAAACCCAAAACTATAAAGATCATAGAAGAAAAAATAGGATCAATGCTAGAGAGCCTAATAAACGGTATTGACAGGATACAAACCATAATTAACAACACACAAACTCCAGAAGATAAGCTAGATAACTGGAATTTTCTAAAAATTAAATACTTATGCTCATCAAAAGACTTCACCAAAAGAGTAAAAAGAGAACCTACAGACTAGGAAAAAAATTTCGGCTATTAAAAATCCAACAAAGGTCTAATCTCTGAAATCTACAGGAAAATCCAGCACCTCTACAACAAAAAGACAAATAATCCAATTTAAAAATGGGCAAAGGAAATGAACAGACACTTCACCAAAGAAGACATTCAGGTGGCTAAGAGACACATGAGGAAATGCTCCTGAGCACTAGCCATTAGAGAAATGCAAATCAAAACCACGATGAGATACCATCTCATCCTGGCATTACTGGCATGAATCAAAAAAACAGAAAATAATAAATGTTGGAGAGGCTGCCGGGAGATTGGAACTCTTATGCACTGCTGATGGGAATGCAAAATGGTACAACCATTTTGGAAAACGATATGGCGCTTCCTTAGAAAGCTAGAAATAGAAATGCCATATGATCCAGCAATTCCACTCCTAGGAATATATCCTAGAGAAATAAGAGCTGTCACACGAATAGACATATGCACACCCATGTTCATTGCAGCATTGTTCACAATAGCAAAAAGATGGAAACAACCTAGATGCCCATCAACAGATGAGTGG